AATATTTTCCCAACACGTTCACAAGCCCCTGATGTTCCCCTGTTATCTAACAGAGACATATCAGTCCAACCTTGGCTTTATGTGTTTCCCACAAAGAGATTAAAACTTTAAAAAAAACACCCTCTACTTTTATTTTTCTTGGACCAAACACAAAGAGAAACCCGCAAAGACAGATCAGAAATAGAAGCCATAAAAATTTTATTAAGTCCTATTATTAGGATAAATGTGTAGCCTACTAAACAACCAGCCTGTGGGAGCGGAGGGGATGCCTGCTGAGGGAAACCCTCAGGATTTTCTAACAAGATCATAACTGTTAAACCACAAAGTTCAATTATTCACTTAGTTTTCTTTGATCCAGACCTCACTGGGTCTGATGCTGGTTTGTTGATCCGCTAAAATAAGTCTCTGCATGTTTAAACATTATCACACACTTCCAAATCTACTTTTATTGGGTCATTTGGAGAAAAATGTGCTAAGATTTGCAAACAAGCAGCAAATAAGTTAAACAAACAGCTTTTTGTTATTTAAAATCCATAAAGCAAGTCTGGAAAAGCTTATTTTGGATTAAGGCGCGTTTTATTACTACGAATTTAAAGCTTTTGTAGTTTTAAAAAGAGCTTGTAGGAGCGGACCGAGGCAGCCTGCTAAGATGATCCCCGGTCAGTCTACAGCGGGTAAACATGGCGGTTGCTCCGCGAGGAGAACCCGCGAATAGTTTAAAAAAATACAACAAGGTCGTATTTTATTTAGACTAAAAACGTCAATGAACGTTAAAACAATCGTTAAAGCGGCGAACCACTATTTGAGCTATTAGCTTGTGGAGGTGTTAGCTCGTAGCCGCGGAGCTGCCGGAGAGACAAGCCCGAGGAGGGCGGAAACAGAGCTCCGACAGCGGCCACGGCAACAGCTGCAGCCCGCAGGAAGCTGCTTTTCACCGGACACAGGAGGAGGAACAGCTACCCCCTCCCCGGCGGCTTCTCAGCAGCTCAACGGATAAAACAGCAAATAACACGTAGCATCAAGCAGGCTAATATAGATATCACAGGTTTCATAGCAGGAAATGTTTAGCTTCACATACTTTAAACGTAAATGCTAAAAGATAAAAATTACATTTCAAATTAAAAGCAGACGAGGGACTACTACTACTACTACTACTACTACTACTACTACTAATAATAATAATTAAAAAATCGTGTTGTTTAGAAAATTCATATGCTTATTGTTTGCATTTTTTAATGTTTTCATTTTAAAATTAGTTGCCCTTTTTGTGTGCTTTAAAAAAATTAGAACGCTTCTTTTTTAAATTCATTTTTAATTTTACCAGTAGGCTACATATAGCTATATTACAGGTATATTAATATTGATGAAAAGCATAGTTACTTACAGACAGGTGTATGTAAGTGTCTCATCCTCACACACACACACACACACACACACACACACACACACACACACACACACACACACACACACACACACACACACACACAGCTCTAATCACACGTGCATCTGTTACTATTAGGAGACGACCGGTGACTCAACTGTTGGTGGTTCCGGTTCTGGACGTGGTGACCCTAGGCAGACCAATTCAGATCTCCATATAACACACACACACACACACACACACACACACACACACACACACACACACACACACACACACACACACACACACACACACACACATTGTTGGATATATGACGTGTGTGCGCTCACACGCACACGCACGCACGCACACACACCCTCACCGCTTCCATTCCTCCCTTCTTTGTTCCCCTCCGATGAGAGAGAAACCCCACCACTGCCACCCAGCGGCAGAGAGGGTACGCGCGGCTGTGTGTGCGCGTGCTCTTTGTTCTTCCAGACCTCCACATCATATTATATATTACAAATAAAAGAATATAAGTGGTAACTTGAAGCGTATCTTTGATTAGAGTCGCGTGCACACGGTCGCGCGCGCTGCCGGAGTGTCCTGAAGATACTGACCTACTGCTGACCTCAGTGGTGATTTGAGAGAAAGAGAGAGATGATCAAAAGTCCTTGTTTTTGGTGGATTATACGTCCAGATGATCCAATCAGAGGAGAATCTGCGAGTGGCAGTAATTAAATTAGCTCTATGTGTAACCCAGTTAAAGAGGCGCTCATGAGGGAGACGTTAATTACAGATATGTGTGTTTCTGCAGGGCATCTTCACTACTGGAACCGATCAATCACGCGCAGAAATGATCTGCGCGCTGCGGCGGCGCCACAACCGCAACAACGATGAGAGTCAGAGCAGCAGAGAGGAGGGGTGAGGAGGTTGTTTTATTTCCAACAGGGGGCAGAGTGACTCTATAGAACCCCCACTCCCCCAACTTTACCCAGCGAGCTTTTATTTTTTTTTTACCTCATCTGGTTAAAAAAATGCAAATTATCTCCTAAATGCAAATCGATTATTCTAATCTCAAAGTGAAGCAAGTAAAATATCAACACTTTTCCCCCCATTTTTTTTTTACCTTTTAGGACTGGTTAGCACTTTTATTTCAAAATAAAAGCATGAGGAACTGCGTTATTCTCCTCCCGGAGCCTTGCCAAGGTCCTGACCCCTGGGCCGGGTGCTGCAGTGGTTTCATGCTTTTCATTGTCTGATTGAATTTTAATTATGGAGGCCGTTTTGATATGGATCATGAATGACTGAATAAAATACAACAGGGGAAATGTTTTAGCTAAATGAGGCTTAATTTATACAAAGAGGTTTTAGCGAATGGTTCAGGAAAGAATGACTGGACAGACATGATTCACGGATGCCCGTGAAGGACGTATTTTGCTAAATGATGAAAAAATCTTGCTGTAAATTCCTTTTTTCCCATAAGAAACGTTGAAGCCGGTTTCTAATTTTTGTCTGCAGACACGTTTGTGTATCATTTGGTTTCTGCTTAAGCAGCATTTTTTCTGAGAAAGTGAGAATATATTTAGGTGGGTTTTTTCATCTCTTTTTCAAAATCTGGAGTAAAATCTTCAATGAAAACTGACTAATGGCATGAATAAAAACCTGCAACATATTTTCATGAAATAGAGCATTTTATTTAAGAGAGCAGGATTGTTTTTCAAACAGGAAAACATTGTGCAATTTCCCCACTAGAATATATGTATAAAAACAATAAAAATTTGAACTGCTTAGTTATTAATATTTTAAAAAGTCACAGACTAATCAGTTGACAAATGCGTTTTATGATGAATCCATCTTTGATCCAACAGAAATCTACTGTTAGGTGTTTAGTAATAATTTTTGTTTCACAACAAAATGAAAATCCCATCAGCAAAAAGCTCATTTAAATTAACAGGAAGTGCATCACCAACACGTTCTTTATGTTGCTTCCTCCTTTTGTTAAATGATGCTTCACCCAAATATTCAACTGTGTTGGCCTGAATAAAAATGGTTTCAATAATTACAAATGAGCAGTTTAATTAAATAAAGAAAATAGAATTTATTTTTTTAATTATCTGCAGAAACAATTTGAATCTAATAATCACTTTTTTTAATGAAATGCCAAGTTTTCACCATTTTTGGAATTTTTCAGGTTAAAGGTTGCTTTATTGATGTTTACATGACATATCAGGTTTTGTTCAGATGAAATCAGGCTGATTTTATCTCTAGGTTAAATTAGTTATAAATGAAGGAAAATCAGCATGAACTCGTTTTAACATTTTATAAAAAGTTAAGATGCAAATATCTTCAGTTTTCTGGTGGTTTTGCAAACGTAGTTATTTTTATGCAGGGAAAAGTGAATTAAAATGACTTTTTTCATCAGAGATGTGTCATGGAATGAGGGAAAGAGCAAAGAGAGTGAATATGTGTCACAAGTAGGAATTAAAATGGACAAGAGTCAGAGGTCAGCCTCATAAAGTCCTTTAAATCCAACAGCCTCACTTAAGCTGCAGCTCATCATTAGTGATGAAAATAATTTAGAGAATCAATTCACAATAGAAACAATTCAATTCCTCCTCTTACTGGAGTTTAAACCACACCGGAGATCACAATAAACCCAGAATAAAGACGAATTAATGTGGAAAGATAAACAATTTATAGGTTGAAAAGCATCTGGCAACACCCTGCTGCAGATATGTACCCAAAAGGAGGAAGTTATTGTAAGGATATGAGGAGATTCCGACAGGACATCCCTCAAACAAAAACAAAATAAAATATTGAAAGAACTGCACCTCATCGACAGCTTTGAGTCAAAAATGTCATCATCCCTGCAAAGATGACGTTTGCAAGAATTCTTTAAATCAAAATTGTCTCAATAAAGGAGATAATTAAAAATATCTCTTAAACGAGAATTTTAGAAAAGGTCTCTGGCAGTGCATCAGCCAAAAGACATAAATTAAATAAAAATTTTAAGACAAAAATCAGGAATCAATTTAATAAAAATCAACATGAGTGTTCACATCAAAACCAGAAAAAGCCTAAATATATATTTATAATACAGCCTTTCTGACATATGGCTGACTTAGGACTGTCATTTGGACCGGTTTTAATTAAGATTTTTATTTCTGTTTGATTCATCAACAAATGTTTTTGTCTAAAAATTGAAACAGAAATCAAAATTTCAAACCCATCTGATGTTTAATTTTTAATCTCTGTTCCTCCTGATCAGTTCAGGGTCCGGTTCCAGGACATTCCTAATAAAATGTTTTTATTTTGAGCGTTTATTTGCAGAATGTGGTCAAAATGGCAAAAGCTAGTGTTTTCAGACCCAATTTAACAAGAAACCCCGCTCAAAGTTTCTTTAATAACGCGATACTGGAAATTGGGGGAGTTCAGATGTCGGTGTTTGGTGAAATAATCCAGATTTTTAATTCCAATGCTTTGTGACTTCACTCCTGTAATCATCCACCTTCATCTTCATCAAAAAGAAATGCTGACGACAGGGATCTGGATCCAGACTTGCTGTTTCGATTGCTTTGGTCTGATTGCTATGTTAGCGTATAAAAGAAGCGGCACGCGCTCCATCTAACATAAAAAGCAGACTTTCTCCCTAATCATTGGGTGGTTATTTCTCTCTGTGCCTCCTCGCTCTACCCTCTCATCCTGCATGCGCTGGATCAGCTGATCAGTCACGTGGCGTGATGTCACGTATCGCCCCCTTTGCAAAATGGAGTTGAGTGAGTCCGTTCAGAGGGGAATGCGTCTCCTCGCTTGTCCGTCCTCGGTGGACCAAAGGAGCTTCCAGGAGCTGGTGGAGGTGTGTTTCCGGAGTCTGGTCTCCTCCCAGGGAGACGCTACAGTCCTCGGTGAGTCGCTGCGTCTCTCCGCCGCCGCTGCTTTTGTCTCCATCGCCGCCACTGCTGCTTGCTTCCGGTTTCTCTCCCTCTTTATATGACCAAATCTGCAGCGATGCTTGCACTTTTTGGCTATTGTTCGGCTCTAAATCTCACATAAAGCGATCCCAACCCCTTTATTTCTTGCTGCATGCCTTTAATTCAGCAGCGATTAGATAATCCCGCGGCCAGCATATCACAAAAACCTTGTGAGATCTGATCATGCATTCAGGAGCTGCGGCTCTGCAGGCGCGTGCTGCTGCTTCACCGTTTCAGCTCATGCTTGTGTCAGAATTATATTTAGAAAGTGAAATATTCACCAGAGAAATAAACAAAAGGACCCCCCACACCTCCCACCCACCAGGGCTGGTGCAGCTGAGGGACGCATTCACATGCAAATCATCATTGATTTCCATTCTGCGCGTCAATCTGGAGATCCCGAACCACCGAGCCAGTCTGCGGTGGCCTCCGTCCTCTGACTGAGCCTGTGTGTGTGTGTTTGTAGATCAGCCCGAGCTGAAGAGCATCGACAGAGTCCAGCTGAAGCAGATCCACACTGCAGCGACCACCTTCATCCTGGAGGGGGTCAAGCAGAACGCAGACAAATCAGCTGTAAGGTAGGTGAGGTCACCAGCTGACCCCCAGCACCTGGTGGAGGTCCAACATGGAGTTGTGGACCAGTAAACGCTGAAAAAACCAGCCTAGTTACTATATCTTTGAAGAGGTCAAGAAAGTCAACATGCAAAATTCTGGTGTAAAACAATAAAATCAAGTGCTTATTTAAATAGTGGATGTTCATAGTCATGTGGAGTATTTAATGAAAATGAAACCCAATCAAATAGACACTAGAATAGAAAAGCGCTTTATTGTCCGTTTTAGTGTAACAGAATTAGAGAATCAATGAGCTGCTTAAATACACCAGTTATAGATTATTTTGAAAGGATCTCTAAAGGTTATTATTTTAACAGTTTTAAGGTTTAGTTTGTCAAATGATTCAATACACGATGCTTCCAATTTAATATTCAGATGTCAAATTAATGACCTTCATGGTGACCTTTCTGATGATGTATAACCACAAACACCTGTCATGTCTTAAATAAACCAACGTTGATTCTTTGTGCTTTGGCTCTCCTAAAAGGTCTTTTTTCTGCCTTTATTGAATGAAGTTGGTTGTTCTCACGCTGATCAAACAAAAGTTAGTTTGATCTGGTATTTTGAGTAAAATAAATGAACTCTTTGGCCGTTTCTTCCTGCAGCTCCAGCCTTGAGGAGCTCACGTTCAGCCCGGAAAGGATAGAACTATTCTACAACACGTATCAGGTACGAGGTCATATTGATTTTGTTTGTTTTTGTTGTGACTAAAGAAATGTTTTATTTTGTTTTACAGAAACATAAAAAAGAACTGGAGGGTCTGTTAGCCAGGTAAGGATGTAGAGCCATCAGCTGACTAGTTTCTCACACCAAATTATTAAGAGGCTTTGATTTTTGTTTGACTCTTTCTGTGGTGAAAAGGTGTAATCCAGACTAATGCAGACGTTCGTCGTGGTTGTATCACTTCCTGTCCTGCTTGGATCAGTTGTCTCAAACTCATCAGAGATCAGACCTCTTCGGGAGTTTCAGATTTTGAAGTTTTTAAAACGTCTAAACGGGAACAAAGATCAAGCAGACCGTCATTCTAAAATCTAGATTAAATTAAATTGTCGAAGGGATCTTGGTTTTGCTGCTCCTAACCTTATAAACAGAGACTCGCCTTTTATTTTATTATGAAATTTATTTGCTGTGTTAATATAATTTATATGTTTTATGTCATATCCCTGTTAAGATTTCAAAATAAAAGCACTTTGATCTGCATCAGTTGTTGCTAGCACCAAAAAGAAAGACAAATGTGGACTTCAAAATGAGTTCATTAATCTAAAATAAAGCGTTTATTTCCACAAATTGCTCTAAAGATGCGTTTTCAAACATTTAACAATATAAAAGAACATTTATGCATCACCCAAACCCCTTCTTGCAGAGGATAAAATGTGTTTATTTTCTCTCTAGCATAGGAAGACGTCCAGCTCAGATTACTGACGTGTCATGGCGCCTGCAGTACAACATGAAGGTAAATCTGCTCAAGTAGTGGATTATTTCTGGTAGCAACGTTTAAAATGTTGTTTTTCTCCATCAGAACAGACAGATCGATAAAGTCAATGAGCCTTTTTACTCCATATCGCTAAACACCGAGGTAACTTTCCTTTGTCCCTTGTTTATATGATGCACAAATGTGCCAAAATGACACGTCTGTTCCTCCATCAGAACAAGGGAACGTCTGAAGACATCGACTTCACCTGCACGATGGAGCAGCTGCAGGTAAAAATCACAGGATTTAAATGCAAAGGTCGATTTATTGACTTGATTGTGGCAAATTTTAAACGAATTCCAGAAAGTCTTGTAAGAATCTGTTGCACAAAAAAAGGCGCAACGGCTTGAATTCAGATGCAATCAAAGATAAAAAAGGGGTGTTTAGAAAGGGGTTGACCTTAAATAACCCGGAAACACGCTCATTTCTAAATAGAATAAAATAATTTATGTTTATTTGATTTGATCTTTAGGATCTGGTGGGGAAGCTGAAGGACGCAGCCAAGAGTGTGGAGAAAGCCAGTCAGATGTGAAGTTCCATCACCTCCACCTGGTTCCTTTAGCAACCAAATCCCAGTTTATGTTGTTAGTTGGACTGATATTAATGATATACTTTTTTCAAGCTGATGACGCATTTCCTGTTTTTTCTCAATAAATTGGCACAACGTGCTCACATGCGCAACTGTTATTCTATTATTTGTATTTGAATAAAGTTGTTTTGAATCAGAATTTGAAACTCTTCCTGATCTTTTTGAACATCAGATTAATAAATCGGCATGTTTTGGAAACAAAAAGTCTTTCCTGCAGTTTATATTTTATTTTTTTGTCGCAACAAGCAGCGGTTTTGGCGCAACTGTCTCTTTTAGCAGAAAGCCTTAATATTATTGCTATTATGGTGAACTTGGAATCTCGTTGCCTTCCCGTCCTGGAAACTCTTTCATCCATCTCCCGAAACTTCAAAGCTCCAGAAACACCCGAGATGCGCCTCGGATCCGACTTGGCGCTGCTGGCTCCGCGCAGGATAAAGACCTCAATTCATCAAGAGGGAATGTTGTGGCGCAGTATTTTTCCACCCTTTAGATGTCAGGACAGCCCGTGACAAAGGTTTGACACCATCGCCATTTGTCACGTATCAAGTGCGTGGGTCTGAAAAGCGCAGAGATTAGAAAAGGCAGCTGCCTCCCGCGGTAATGGGCACCGAGGCTTCTTCTGATGGTGGAACCGACACGAGCCGGTGTTTATTTTTAAACACCAGAGCCTCTGGTTAGTGTCCGCCTTGTTTTATAACGCTGATGTGGCGCAAAGCGTGTTATTTTAAATCCTGCGTCACATTTTGTCCAGAAAAAAAATGCATCGTAATGTTTAACTAAGCGCCTTTAACGATCCAGAGTGGTGCTATTTATGCGCAAAGTGGTCAAGTTCCGCTAATAATACCCACTCGCGCGCACACGTCTCTGTATTTGTTATTTCGGACAGACTTAAGAACGTTTGATCCAACTATTGCTATTTTTGAATAACAGCGCGTGGACCGACGGTAATTCCAAGGCACCCTTAAGCAAAGAGACCACGTGACCAAAGCGGGGCGGTCGAACTATAAGCCATTTTGGGGACGGTGTCAGTTTCCACGGAGCGCACGCACACACACACATGCACACGTTAACGCACATGAGCCACACACGGCTGCGTTTCGCTAAGCGGGTACTTTGGAGATAAACTTCTCGGTGCCAAGGAGGAAGACTCTCCAAGCCGCGAGCTTTTGGAGCCACGGATCGGTGCGCGCGCGCGGCGCGAGAGCTGCGTGGAAGCGAGGAGTTTTTCTCTGCACATCTGAATTGCGCTCGCTCTCTCTCTCTCCCTCTCCCTCTCCCCCTCCCTCTCTCTCTCTCTCCGCCTCTGACAGCGTCTGCAGCCTGGTTCAAGATGGCGGCTCGGCTCCTATTCATTTTCTGCTGATCGCCTCCCAACTTTCATTGTCTCCTCGCTCCCAGACGCCCCGAATCCCCGCCAAACCTCCAGGTAGGTCTCGTTCGTTCCCCTCTCCCACTCGCAGCGGCCGAAGGCGGCGTTCGGGGCTCCGTGTTTTCGTGCCCGGGCTTCGCGCGGATCCAGCGGTTGATGTGGAGCTTTTTCAGCCGCGGCTGCAGCGACGTGGAGCTCCGTCCGTCTAGTCCGTGGTGTCTGCGCACTACTTTTTGTTTGTACGTGTGAGCAAAACACGCTCTCCGCTCGCATATACAGGCTCAATAATCCGCAAAAACGCACGCAGACGCATTCTGCGTTGGGCAGGTCGGCGTGTGTGTGGACGGATCGCGGCTCTGGTTCGGATTGCGTCGTTTGGATTTATGTAAAGTGGAGGATCTGAAGCGAGCAGGGCTGGGTGGGCTGAGATGTTACCAGCAGCAAGTGCTCCAAACGCGCCCCACGAGCCCGGATTCCCACCCAGACCCGTCAGATTATAGATTCGGGAAGGTTCGGGTGTCCTGATCCGGGTCCTGTTTTACCATTTGGTGAATCTGATCCCAGAAATGATTTATTAACTTAACTTGGGTCACTCCTGCTGAAGGTGACGCGGAGGCAGAGTGATTAATTTGTGGATAAATGTGCTTCGACGGCTGCTTGGTGAAGACTGGATCATTAAAAATCAGACGGAGGGACGGTTTATGGTTCTGTTTGTGGTTCTGATGAGGGAGAAAGTTGTTTTGTCTTTGAGGAATTATAAATAAAAGTAAGACTGTGGCGCGTGCATGGGGTTCGGCACAAAGAGACGGCTGTGTCAAAAAGCAGCGAAACGGTTCATTGCGCTAAATCCACTTTATTTGTCACCAGCTGGACGTTTGTTTGTTTGTTTGTTGTTGTGTTTATCTGCATGGTTGGTTTTAATGTTTTTGGTGTTTGGTCTTGGTCTTGCACGATTGAGCTAATGTTTTGGCTGTTTTTAGTGTAAAGTTCTCGTTTTCAGGATGGACTTTGGTGACGGTGTGAGTTAAATAGTGGATTTACGCAGTCCGGGTGTTTGTTTATATTTACCTGTGATTAACGGATAGACAGCCGAGGCAAAGGTGACTCTAGGGCTAAGGATGATTTAATTCAGAGTTGACTGAATTCGCTGCAGCTGTCAGAACTTGCTGGTGTTTATTTTGTTTTTAAACCCAAATTCCGAATTTATTTCGGTTCCTCTCAGCTCTTGTCTGAGATCTTAAGCCTGCTCCTTTGGTTCTGTTCCGGTGGAGGACGTTCGTTCCTATACAGGATTATATTTTTAGTTTATATTTTTATTTTTTTTTTTAGATTGACTTTTAGAAAGTGCAGAGAGAGATGGAGCAGTTCTCCTAATACCAGCGGTTCGATTAATGGCGCAACAGGCAACATGATGCACATAGATGATCCATCATGATCCGGAGCGGTCTTTGATCCGGGTTCTGTTCGGGTTCTGGGTCATCATCCAGGACTCGCCTCCGAACCAGAAGAGTTTTCCGATTCATTCGGAATATTTCCCTAAAGGAAAATCTCTTAATGTGGTAAATGAGGCGCAAATCGTTCATGTTTATCTCCGTTTTATTCCTTTTTTTTTTTTGCACAAAGCTGAAATGGAGGCTGTCGTGGCGCGCGCCAGTTTGTTCAGCTGCTACTATTACAACTAAAATCATAACAAGGAGCCGAATCAACAGCAGTGTGTGCTCCAGCTTGCGCCAACTTGAGCGCAGTCGCTGCCGCCTGCGTGTGGATAATCGCGCAGACGCTAAAAAAACAACAAAAAACCAACAACAACAACCCGGATCGAGCCAAAGCACGTCAGCAGAGCTCGTGTCCGGATAGGTGTTGTGTGCATGATCGGGGAGCTCCCGTGGAGTCGAGGCTTCTCGTGCCCCCCCTCCCGCCTGCAGCCCGTTTTCGCTCTCTCCTCCACAAAATGGCAGCCGTGCTGCCAGGCGGTGCAGCGGCTGCGTGCCTGCGCGCGCGTCACGGAGCGACTACTCCCGCTCTGCTCACCGGCAGACTTGATGTTGTGGGTTAGACATCCTGTCTCGTTCTGGTCACTGACCGCCAGCCATGTGCTAAAAGCTAAAAAAAAACGAAAAAAAAAACGAGGGGGGTTGTTGCCATAGGAACGATCAGGTTTCCCCCCAATGTGACTAGCACACCTGACGCGATGAGAACCCAGAATAAAGGCTATTTCCCCACCGCGGCCGCTGTTTTCCATTTAATCCGCTAATTTAACGCATTTAGCGGATTTTTGGCTGATCTGGGATCAGTTCTCACCTCTGATTGACCCTTTTATATTTCAGCAGCTCTTTATAATAAACGATGCTGCTTTAAAGTGAAGAGGAGGCTTCAAGTAGCATAATATCATTATTAATAAGAGATTGGACCGCTTTAACTGGTCCGAATGGTCCCCCTCACTGGTTTCCTTTCCTCCGCGTGCAGGATTGTTGTTTATTCCTCCCATCATGCATCGGACCACCAGGATAAAGATCACGGAGCTGAATCCTCACCTCATCTGCGTCCTGTGTGGAGGATACTTCATAGACGCAACCACCATCATCGAATGCCTCCACTCATGTGAGCATTGTTTCTTTATCTCATCACCAACGTCTGCTGAAGAGATTTGTCCTTTTAGTATATAAGAATTATGTTCAGCGGTCTGCAAATTTTCTAACATAAATATTTCTTTGCAGTCTGCAAAATGTGCATTGTGCGTTATCTGGAATCCAGTAAATACTGCCCCATCTGTGATGTGCAAGTGCATAAAACCAAGCCCCTGCTCAACATCAGGTGAGACCTTGAATTCTTTATAAAATATAAATAATGTATTTTTAAAGTAAATCTATATCTCTTTATATCTTACAAAATGCGTGTTTTATAGATGGAAATGCCAGTTTTGACACAAGTTTCTCCTCTTCCTTTTAGGTCTGACAAAACTTTACAAGACATTGTGTACAAACTAGTCCCTGGTCTCTTCAAAAGTAAGAATATTTAGTTTTATTCTTCTTTCAGATCAGCTTCATAAAACTGCATTAATTTGACCACAAACCATAAAAAAATGAAAATATTTAGTTTAATGAAATGAAATGTTCCCAAATATCTTAATATTTAGGTTTGTGTTGGGTTATTTAGTAAAAGCTGCAAATCTACGTAAGAGAAGAGCGTATTACATCGGGTTATTGTACGAACACTCCTCATTGCTGAACTTTTTATTGTGACACTGTCACATTATTATAAGAAACTTAAAATGAGGTTTGACTCTGTTGATGAGAAATGAACAGCTGAACTCTGATTGTCCTCAGATGAAATGAAGAGGAGGAGAGACTTTTATGCGGAGCATCCTGTAGATGGTGAGTCAGAAAACTCAGACTGAGATTAATAATCTTAATCTCCCGTTTCTGTAAAGTCACCGTCTTGCGTCTCTCTCTCTCCTCCTGAAGCTTCCAACGGCTCCCACGAGGACCGAGGGGAGGTGGCGGACGAAGACAAGAGAATCATAACAGACGATGAGATCATCAGCCTCTCCATCGAGTTCTTCGATCAGAGCAGGTGAGATTTTGTTTTTATTCAAATGTTTGGAGACTCTGCAGTGAAGCTTGATTGCTGATTGGTTTGGAGTGGTCATGTGTTGCATCAGTTTGTATGTTAAATATTTACTGTCTGTTAAAAAAGACGGACAGCGTTGATATAACTAAAGACAGAGCTGAAGTGTTTATGGACCCGTGTGACATCCAACCTGCAGAGAAATCTTTTGTTTTATTTTAGTAAATCTAAATTCAGAATTCACATTTGTGTTCTAGATGATGGTTCTGTGTGGTTCAAATGAATATTTCCCTTTTTATTCTGTGCAGATTGGGAGGTGGAATAGAAGACAAGCAGTCAAGAGATCAGGTATTAGATGGTGACATGGTCACAGACTATTATCTGCAGCTGATTTTTACTTTATTTTATCCAGTTAAAACTAGAAAATAAAAGACTTTAATTTTTTGTTTTCATGTTAAAATAAAATCTGCAAACACATTCTTTTAAGGTGGACTTGATTAAAAAAATAAGATTTTCTACCAAGTGAATTTAGAAGTTTTTAATTAATTTCATTTTTAGGTGACTAACAAGCGGTACCTCCAGTGTCCAGCAGCCATGACAGTCATGCATCTGAGGAAGTTTCTACGCAGCAAAATGGACATCCCAAACACTTACCAGGTCTTTGTTTTACACTCTTTATTTTATTTATTAATAACATGTTTTAATATACATAAAATAACTGCAGCCTTGTGGATTTTACATTATGTTTAAGTTCAGAAACATATTTGCATTATTTATAATTAATAAAAATAATTTTCTGTCCAGGTTGAAGTCATGTATGAAGACGAGCCTCTTAAAGATTACTACACATTAATGGACATAGCTTATATCTACACTTGGAGAAGGGTATGAGCACTCAGATATTATGTGTTTATATTAATTGTTCAATATATTTAAAGCATTTCTGTATTACCAAATGCTTCATTTATTATTACTGCTGACTGAACATATTTTAAATAATTAAGCTCATTCTGAAGTTTTCAAGTTGCAGATAAAAAATAGGCTAGTTATTAATATTTTAATTAGTTACAAAAAAGGTTTCTTGCAGATTGAAGCAAATTTAAGTAAATTTTAGCTTCCTGTCTTATGTGGAGTGGTGCTCTCCAGCTTAGTGGTCAGTCCGTAAGTATTATACAAACCAGATGGACAAGTACAATTAAGTGTTCTTGTGTTGTGGTTTATTTCAGCCAGTTGTAGGTCAGGTGTTCTGTAAAAATCAATGATTTCGAGCAATTTGGGTCTTAGTTTGATGAAGCTAAAAACACATGTTGAAAATAAATGTATTCTTTTCAAAATGAGCAGAAATTAGTCATCGCCTGGAGGTAGTTTCTGTTTTGGAAGTGTTTGTCTGTAGAAAGCTAACTGGTCAGCTAAATTGATTTACAATACTCTTATTTTGAAAGGGACTATTTAGTTGTACGTGTTTTAAGTTTTTTTTTTAAGGTGGACCGAATCTTATTTTAGCTGATCTCTCCACAGAACGGACCGCTGCCTTTGAAGTACCGGGTTCGACCCAACTGTAAGAAGATGAAGGTGAGCCACGCGCAGCAGGAGGGACAGAACAGCGCGAGCCGATCCGGCCCAGAGAGCGACTCGGCCAGCGACAAAGCCGGAAGTCCCGCCGGGGCTCCGTCCACCTCCTCCTCGCTGCCGAGCCCCGGCACGCCCGCCCGGTCCCCGCACCCTCAGCTCCCTCACGGTCCCAACAACGTGAACGGAACCGCTGCAGCCGCCGCTCAGACCCCGAACCGGCCCTTTAACCAGTTCAGCAGCACCGGCGGAAGTGGCGGAAAACCCCGGAAAGTCTCTCTGAACGGCTCGGCGACCTCTTCCGGATGACGCGGCGCCCCGGAGCCGACACCAGACTACCGCTCAACTGCAAGGCTGTTCATGCCAACGTAGTTCCACTGTGTAGACCACGTTCTCTCTTTCTCCAGTCGCTGTTCTAACATTCTGGCATCATTTGTAAGTTTTAAACGTAGCAGAGCCAGAGGTTTTCACAATAAAATGCTCAAGGAAGTTTTATTCTGAAAGGAGATACCAGGGAAACAAACGTTGTTCACCTGTTTTTTTAAAAGCTGCATCTTTGTTTTACAGAAATGACTGAAGGGGAATTCTTAGATTTTTGCTTCTTTGGAGTTCAAAAGTGTCTTACACGATTATTCCATGTCTTCTGGGATGTTTTGAAGCACAGATGAAACATGCATGCTCATCACGGTGAAAACGTTCTGTTCTGAACGAGGGCTGCGCGTGTTCGGCCCACTAAATGCAAAAAAAAAAAAAAAAATAAGTTGGAAAGTGTTCAGTCGGAGCATCAGAAGTTTGTACAGAACCAGAAAAGCGCGCGAGGTTAAACTGTAGCTGCAGTGGATTCAGATTCTGCGTGTAAATAAAGACAAAATGCATATTTAATCAGCGATTACGTTATTCTCTATTTTTGTCTTTCCTTTCTGTTTGGAGAGAAGGACTGGAGCTCCTGCTGTTATCGCAGATGTTTTGATGTGTCTGTTTTCTGTATTTGTACGTATGAACAACTTTCTGTATTGTTGCTGTTGCACAGTAAAAACATCTAAATAAAACATTTTACACTTATGAATAAAACTGCTTATTTTAGTGCGTTTTTGTTTATCTGGTGCTCGTGCACGAACAAAAACCCCGAATAAAGGAATCTGTGAAAAGGCCAGACGGCGCACAGCAGCGCCAGATGTCCTTTTTGCACAGAAATTAGGAGTGCAGGTCTGAACAGAGCGAAATAACAAAATGCGGTTTGATGCGCAAAAACTACCCGGAAAAGAAAGGAACTGTGGAAAAGTACATGAATGTGAACATCTCCCTTCATATATCACTTTTTATTCAGAATAATGTAAATATTGGTTTTTGTTTCGCTTGTTAAGCCTTTAAAGTTCACCGCATATGCGTTTAAACCGTAAAACAAAACAACACATAGGATCTACTGAAGGTATAACATCAGATTTACTGTTTTCTCTTGTTTAATTATGTATTATTATGCTTTAAACGACATAAAAATGTTCATGCGTGTTATTTGTATTTCTTTCTTTGCGGCAACCTGAATCAAGACTGAACAGGATGTGATGGAGAACAGAAGGATCCGGTTTAATTTGTAATGAAAGAAAGGCAACATCATGGATTTAAAAAATGTAGATTTTCTGCTATTTTATTGAGTTGTTATTGGTTTAATCCCCTGTAAAAAATAATAATCTGTTTTTACAAGAACAAAAAACATCTTTAAATAAAATGATGTTTTCGATTGTGATGCAAAAAACATATTAAGCACTCTGAGCATTTTTTGACCAGTTTTTTCTTGTATTTCTATGCTGTCACTTTAAAAACGTATTTCTTTAGTTATTAGATTAAATTATTTAAGCAGCATATTAAAACAAATATTTGAACTTTGGCTTCTCTGCACTAGGTGATTTTATTCAGTTTAGCCCCATGTCCTTATTTTTAATCTATTGTTCTATTTTATAGGCCTATACAGTTCTGAATTACCAGTTGTTCTTAAACAGTTTGTCATTTTATGTTTGTGAGGTGCTGTAATCCCAGATAAAAGTGAAAATAAAAATCACATCAAACAAAAACTTGAGTCTCAAGGGATTAAATTAGATAAACGTCCTCCAGAGAAGATCAACAGAGACTAAACGCATCAGAAATAGCCTACTATGTCACTTATAGTTACATGGTTTCAAAACTTTAGTTTTTTTTTAAATATATTTTGTTTAACATTTAAGAAAGAATGAAAATTTTTTACTTATGTGTTATATAGCCAATATATATATATATATATATATATATATATATATATATATATATATATATATATATATATGATTTTTTTAACAATATAAATATGGTTAGAACCTGGGTAACCAAGTCACATTTTATACTAAAACACTTCTGTTGATTGTTTCTTCCATTTCAGTTATGAAAGTCCAGTAGTAAAAAAAAAAGTTTTATTATTTATTCAATTTTAGATTATCTTTCTCTGCAGGTCAGAGAGAGAAAGCAACTAAAAGAAAAATAAGCAAAATTGCATCCAGTATAGCCTACTATATATTTATGTTGTGATGCATGTGGGGCAGGGCATGCAGCCCTGGTGTGCAGGCAATGATTGCAGCGATGAGGACAGTGGAGCTTAAAATGGGTTGTGAGCAAGGCCGGATTAACCATACGGGCAACTGGGCAATTGCCTAGGGGTCCATGAACTCTAAAGGGCCCAGGGCAGCAAGGGCACGAGCAAAATACTGTATCTGTAATCTCGCGCTTTATATTAAACTAGGGTGACCGTACGTCCTCTTTTCCCTGGACATGTCCACTTAAAGGCCTGTGCAGAGCAGCTCTGTGGGATTCTGCAGCACCTCTTCAACCTCAGCCTGGCCCAGGAGAAGGTTCCAGTCCTGTGGAAGACATCCTGCCTTGTTCCAGTTCCAAAGAAAACTCGCCCATCAGTCAATGATGACTGCAGACCGGTTGCCCTGACATCCCACATCATGAAGGTCCTGGAGAGACTCCTGTTGGTCCACCTGAATAAGCAAACTAGAACATATCAGGACCCGCTGCAGTTTGCTTATCGCCATGGAGTTGGAGTTGAAGATGCCATCATCCAGCTGCTTCAACCAACCCACTGTCATCTAGACAAAGCAGGCAGCACTGAGAGGGTCATGTTCTTTGATTTCTCCAGTGCATTTAACACAATCCAGCCTGATGTACTTTGCCAGAAACTCCTGAAGACACGGGTGGGGCCCTCAACGATCGCCTGGATTAAAGACTGTAAAAAATGACTGTGAATTACACAGTAATTTACTTTATTTCTGTAAAGTAACTCACTGTGAATGTATTTAAAGTAAAATACTGTATAATTGACAGTAACTGTTGCAATACTGTATAAATCACAGTAATAAATGCTATACTGTAAAACTTCACAGCAGACCAAGTTCTACTGTAGTAAGTCACAGTAATATAATCACTACTGTAAGAAACAAAGCAAAATTTTACAGTAGAGTGAAAATACTGCATAAATTATGGTAATACATGCAATACTTTAAAAATTCACAGCATACCAAGTTCTACTGTAGTAAGTCACAGTAATATCATCACTACTGTAAAAAAACAAAACAGGACTTTACAGTAATGGGAAATAATTGTATTTATCACTGTAATAAATACAATACTGTATAAATTCACGGCAGATCAAGGTCTACTGTAGTAAGTCACTGTAATATCACCACTATTGTAAAAAACAGAGAAAGAAGTTACAGTGGTGTGAAATAATTGCATAAGTTATAGTAATGAATGCAATACTGTAGAAATTCACAGCAGACCAAGTTCTACTGTTGTAATTCACAGTAACATATTCACTACTGTCAAAAACAGAGAAAGAAATTACAGTAGTGTGAAATTACTGCATAAATTATGGTAATACATGCAATACTTTAAAAATTCACAGCATACCAAGTTCTACTGTAGTAAGTCACAGTACTATCATCACTACTGTAAAAAAACAAAACAGGACTTTACAGTAATGGGAAATAATTGTATTTATCACTGTAATAAATACAATACTGTATAAATTCACGGCAGATCAAGGTCTACTGTAGTAAGTCACTGTAATATCACCACTACTGTAAAAAACAGAGAAAGAAATTACAGTGGTGTGAAATAATTGCATAAGTTATAGTAATGAATGCAATACTGTAGAAATTCACAGCAGACCAAGTTCTACTGTTGTAATTCACAGTAACATATTCACTACTGTCAAAAACAGAGAAAGAAATTACAGTAGTGTGAAATTACTGCATAAATTATGGTAATACATGCAATACTTTAAAAATTCACAGCATACCAAGTTCTACTGTAGTAAGTCACAATACTATCATCACTACTGTAAAAAAACAAAACAAGACTTTACAGTGATGTGAAATAATTGTATAAATCATTGTAATAAATACAATACTGTATAAATTCACAGCAGATCAAGTTCTACTGTAGTAAGTCACTGTAATATCATCACTACTGTAAAAAACAGAGAAAGAAATTACAGTGGTGTGAAATAATTGCATAAGTTATAGTAATGAATGCAATACTGTAGAAATTCACAGCAGACCGAGTTCTACTGTTGTAATTCACAGTAATATAATTACTACTGTAAGGAAAAATGCAAAAATCAACAGTAGTGTAAAATTACTGCATAAATTATGGTAATACATGCAATACTTTATAAATTCACAGCATACCAAGTTCTACTGTAGTAAGTCACAGTAATATTATCACTACTGTAAAAAACAAAACAAGATTTTACAGTGGTGAGAAATTTCACAATGACTTATTGTGTACTGGATAAAAACATACTGCAGAAATTCACAATAATAATATAAATTCACAGTAACATGTGTACCATAGGGAATTGCAGTACCTATTACAGTACTGTAGAAATTCACAATAATATATTGGAATTTAAAGCAACATATTATTTATTGTTGTAATAACATGTAAAGTACTTTAAAAGCTCACAGTAACCATTACAGTATACTGTTGAAATTCAGTTACATATTGTGCACTATAGAAACCTCAACCAGCTGTAAAATGTCACAGTAACGTACTGTCACGTACTGTGTAAAACTACAACCAAAGGTAATTTCAGAGTGATATCGTGTACTTCGGGAAATCACATCAAGCAACATGATACTGTAAAAATTCACAGTAATTGTTTTAATTGTACAATGTATTTTTAAGTAATTATAGCAACCAGTGCATTACTGTAAAGATTTGCAGTAACATCATATATAACCAATGGGTATAGCCTCTCCCTGGGCTGCCACCTTACGGTGGTGGAGGGGTTTGAGTTTCCCAATGATATAGGAGCTAAGTTGTCTGAGGCTTTATGCCTCTGGTAGGGTCATCCATGGCAAACAGTTTCTAGGTGAGGGATGAAAGAGAAGCCTGAAGACCTCTTATGATGAATAATTTCAATGGAAACTGTGTTCCCTTGCTCGGACGTGGGTCACTGGGGCCCCCCTCTGGAGCCAGGCCTAGAGGTGGGGTACGTTGGCGAGCCCGGCCGGGCACAGCCCGAAGAGGAAACATGGGTTCCCCTTCCCATGGGCTCACCACTCGTGGGAGGGGCCAAAGGGGTCAGGTGCAGTGTGTGACAGGTGGTAGTCGAGGGTGGGGGACCTTGGTGGACTGATCCTCGGCTACAGAAGCTGGCTCTTGGCACATGGAATGACGCCTCTCTGGTGGGGAAGGAGCCTGAGCTGGTGTGTGAGGTTGAGAGATTCCAACTAGATATAGTCGGCCTCACCTCAACGCATGGTTCTGGCTCTGGAACCAGTTTGCTTGAGAGGGGTTGGACACTCTACCACTCTGGAGTTGCTCCCACTGAGAGGCGCCGAGCAGGGGTATGCAGGGCATACTAGTTGCCCCCATCTTGGTGCCTGTACGTTGGAGTTTACCCCGGTGAATGAGAGGGTAGCCTCCCTCCGCCTACGTGTGGAGGGACAGGTTCTGACTGTGGTCTGTGCTTATGCACCAAACTACAGTTCAGACTACCCACCCTTTTTGGAGACCTTGGAG